GTCAAAAACCAACCACAAACCTGACGGCCCAACCCCAAGCCCACTCTGGCAGTGGCAGGAAGTACCTTGGCAGGAATTCTTGTCCGGCACCTTCTGGAAGCCTCTGCGGCAAGTGCAGTATGAGGTGGACTGGGACTGAACACACTGGGCCTCGTCCCCACACATGGTGGTGTTGGTCATGCAGTCATACGACTTGTGCTCTGTAGTGGGATGTGCTGTCACACACGTGTTCACAGTGGCTTCCCCAGCACCCACCTTGGTCCCCTGGCCCCCAACCCACCGTGGGAGCAGGATTCCTCATCAGACCCATCTCCACAGTCATCAAAGAAGTTGCAGCGGAGGTTGGCGCTGATGCACTTCTTGTTCCCGCACAGGAACTCGTTTTTGTCCTGGCTGCAGCTCTTGGGCTTGGCCGTGGGTGACTCTGCAGGAGAGAGGCAGTGGCTGTGACCCCTATGTCCCCAGACACCCAGCACCCACACCCTGGTTTAGGGAGGAAGGACTGGGCAAAGCCAACCCCAACATCTGGGCTGAACCCTGGGCTCTGGGAAGACCATCCCAAAGGCCACGGTGACATGGTGACCTGCCACCCCGGCCACACGGGCGCTGGGCCATGCCCACGGGCAGCCCCACTCACCACAGTCCTTCTCATCCGTGTTGTCACCACAGTTGTCAATGCCGTCGCACTGTCGACCGATCCACAGACATACCCGGTCGTTCTTGCAGCGGAACGGTCTGTTGGGGGGACACTGGAATTTCACTGCACCAGCAAACAGAAACAAACGGTGACGGTGAAAGGAGACGCCGTAGCCAGGCTGTCACACTTGTCACGAGCTGCTGCTCGGCCTCTGCCCGCTCTCCGGGGAGGGCTGTCCCACGCGGGCGAGCGAGCTCCGGAGGCTGAAGCAAAGAGACTGAAGCAAAGACAATCGCCCGGCTGCTGTGAGCCCTCTCCTCGCCCCCCAGCCCCCTGCCCCCTCTGCAGCCCTGCTCCCTCAACCAGAGTCACCTCCTGCCCCTCAGCCACCTCCAAGGGGAGCTGCCAGAGGTCCCCACAACCCCCGCAGCGGTGCCCGAGCCCCGGGGCTGCCCCCCCTCCCTGGGGCACACGGGGGCTCGGGGCAGAGGCACCGCGGCATCACTCACAGCACTCCTCGGGGTTCTCATCTGAGTTGTCCCCACAATCATCCTCCCCGTCGCACTTCCAGGCCAGGGGTTTGCACAGGGTGTTGTTGCACTGGAACTCATCCAGGGGACACGTGCGAACTGTGACAGTGTGGGGCAGGAGGAGACATGTCAGTCTGTGCTGCCCCACTGTCAAAATCCCAGTCTGGGGCCACAATTCCAATTTACAGCATGGCTGAGGGG